AAGGGATCCTCCTGCCTCAGCCTCCCGAGTAGCTGGGACTACAGGCATGCGCCACCATGCCCGGCTAATTTTTTTTTTCTATGTATTTTTAGTTGTCTGATTAATTTCTTTCTATCTTTAGTAGAGACGGGGTCTCGCTCTTGCTCAGGCTGGTCTCGAACTCTTGACCTCAAGCGATCCTCCTGCCTCGGATTCCCAGAGTGCTGGCTGGGATTACAGGCCTGAGCCACTGGGCCTGGCCCACAATACCTATTTATATGTTAATCTAGTGGCATACCAAGCCTGGGTGTGGGCACAGACCAGTAGAGGATATATAGTCTGTTGCTGAGAATTTTGAAAACAGGCAAACCAGCCCAGAGCCTGTGCTTTTTCTCGTCACCACGTGTAGTACTTAATGTTGGTGACAGACACCCCCACCTTGGATGCTGGCATTGGAAAAGCACACTTGGAGGTTACCTGTGGTTCTGTGAAGCTGGTGTTTGCTGTGCGTGGTTTCCTGGGAGTTGAGTGGGGAGGACACACAGTTCTGTGTCTGACTGGCAGCCATCCTTGTCATCGCTGCCTCATGTTTGTTTTCCCAAAGTCCGGTACACCCAGGGCAGGGAGGCCAGCTGGGCCCCGCTGCCCAGAGTCCCAGATGGAGGTGCAGTTGCTGCCTATCACCCCGAAGCTTCCCAAAGGGGCCTGTTATTATACATCTTCAAAATATTTACAGAGATCTTTGTGTGGACTCTTGTTCTTAGAGGCCCATAAATTCACCTGATGGCCCCATCATGAGATAATAGGGCAGGGAGCTCACTCCTGGGCTGTGTGGCCCACACAGCCCCTGCAGTCCCCGGGCAGGTGTGGGGCCAGCGCTGCTCGCACCTGCTGGGCGGGCAGGGCTGGGGTCTTGAGACTGGCCAGCTGCCCAGGTGTTTTCTTATGGGAAACAAGCATTCTTTGCCTTCCAGAGAAAGTTTCCAGTGACTTGCGGCACAGAACTGCTTTTATTGAGGCAGCTATCAGATAAGAAGCTCGGTTGGAGTTAACACTTTCACTCCCGTGGTGCTGGCTCAGGCCAGTGACAGGAAAGAGGGGGAGGACCGTCTGGGTGCCACCGGTGCTGTACCAGGGGAAAGCAGGGCACAGAGGGTACCTGAGCTCATGTTGGCATCTCCCAGATACCTTCCACAGAACCACTGGTTCCTTGGGGTGTTATTGGTGGATTGTGAAAATAGGGTTACCCTGCCAAATAAAATCGAGAAATGCTGAGTTAAGAGG